TAATGGACACAACAGCTGCATAGTCTCAAAGAAATTCTGTAGTCGTATATATAGAATTCTTTAACCTGTTCTAAGCTTTCATCATCTCGGTCACACTTCCCACCGTCCAAGTGATTTTTATATATAATGTTTGCGGTCTTAATGTGTCACTTGTTTATGTTGTATTTGACAAGGTAGGTTTTGGGTTCACTACAGTTCAATTAGACTATAGGAGAATATATATTTGGTAACACACACACACACACACACCTCTCTCTCTCTAAGACACACTGCATATCTACTAACGTTAATGTTAAGAAAAGTTACATGACAAAGCTAATTTCTGACGCCCTTCATTTTACTGCACCATCATCATGTTTTTATATGACCAGCAACTATCATCTGTCTCTTCCCATTATCACGACTCTAGGAACGTTTCACTTCCCGTTTATTTCGTTTTGTTTCTTTCTCATTTATGTTGTTCCTTCTTACTTAACTTTAAAAATTTTACTCTGAATTTTTCACTAATATTTTTCGTTGACTTTTTGACTTATTGATAATTGTTTCCATTGACCATTTTCCCACTGATTTTTTCATTAACCAAAGTTTTCTCTCAAAAAATGTAAAAAATTTATTCCTTTAAATATTATGCATTAACCATTATTTCATTTGCCGTTATTTCCATTATTCACTCACTTTTTATTCAGCGAAAATAATAATCTCTGAAGACCTAAAAACAGTGAAATATAATATTCTAAGGTAAATATTAGTTTTTATTTTATTTACAGATTCTTTTAAGGAATACTTTACATCTTCCTCTGCTAGCTGTCTCATCATTCCTCGGAGTCTAGTAAAGAGTACAGTTTATTTTCTGATGATTCTTCTGGTTAAATTATTGAGGATATTCTGCCTCTTTCTCGATATCTTTCTTTCTTTCGTTCTTGGGTATCTGGGTATCTGCTACCTGACTTTGAATTAGAACTCTAAGAAGACGTACTATACAGTTCCCTTCACTAGTGCGTTTACCGGGGGGAGGGTGGGGTGGGGGTCGTCATTATCTTTGAGATATTTGTTTTAATATTGTTTAATTTGATTCCATAGTATGTTT